GATGAAATATCTTGATATAAAAAATCTCTTCAAGGTTTCCTTACGATTTTCTTCGGTTTTTTTGCAACATCTTGATATGGGCATTGCCTTCAAGGTTTCTTTGAGGCTTTCTTCGTTTTGATTGAAGCCTCTTGACATAGAAATTCCCTTCAAGATTTCCTTGGGACTTTCTGCGTTTTTGTTGCAGCATCTTGACATGGAAATTGCCTTGAAGACTTCCTTGGAGCTTTCTTCATTTTTGATGAAATGTCTTGATATAGAAATTCCCTTCAAGGTTTCCTTATGATTTTCTTCAATTATATTGCAACATCTTTATATGGACATTGCTTTCAAGGTTTCTTTGGGGCTTTCTTCGTTTTGATTGCAGCATCTTGAACTGCAAACTCCCTTCAAGGGTTCCTTGGGACTATCTTCGTTTTTGGTGAAGCATCTTGACATGAAAATTGCCTTTGAAGAATTCCTTCGGATTTTCTTTGATTTTGTTGCAGCATCTTGATATAGAATTTCTCTTCAAGGTATCTTTGAGACTTTTTTCGTTTTTATTACAGCATCTTTGATATAGAATTCTCTTCAAGATATCTTTCTGATTTTCTTCGTTTTTGTTGCAACATCTTGACATGAAAATTCCTTTCAAGGATTCTTTGGGTCTTTCTTAATTTTTGATGCAGCTTGACATGAAAATTCCCTTCAAGGATTCTTTGGATCTTTCTTCATTTTTGATGCAGCTTGCCATGGAAATTATCTTCAAGGTTTCCTTGGAGGTTTTCTTTATTTTCGTCGCAGCATCTTGGCATGGAGGATCCCTTCAAGAATTCCCTGGGCTTTTTTGTTTTTCTTGCAACATCTTGACATGGAAATTTTCTCAAGATTTCCCTGGGACTTTCTTCGTTTTGTTGCAGCATCTTGACATACAAATTCCCTTCAAGGTTTCCTTGGGGCTTTCTTCATTTTTATTGAAGCATCTTGATATGCAAATTCCCTTCATTATTTTCTTGGGACTTTCTTCGTTTTTATTGCAGCATCTTGACATGGAAATTCGCTTCAAGGTTTCCTTGAGACTTTCTTCGTTTTATTACATTATCTTGACATGGAAATTGCCTTCAAGGCTTCCTTGGGGCTTTTTTCGTTTTGTTGTAGCATCTTAACATGGAAATGCCTTTCAATATTTGCTTAGAACTTTCTTCGTTTTGTTGCAGCATCTTGACATACAAATTCCCTTTAAGATTTCCTTGGGACTTTCTTCGTTTTCGTTGCAGCATTTTGATACAGAAGTTCCCTTAAAGGTTTCCTTAGGTCTTTCTTCGTTTTTAATGCAGCATCTTGATCTGGAAATTCCCTTCAAGATTTCCCTGGGGCTTTCTTCGATTTTGCTGCAGCATCTTGACATGGAATTATCTTTCCAGGTTTCCTTGGGGCTTTCTTCGTTTCTATTACAGCATCTTGATATGGAAATTCCCTTCAAAGATGCCTTGGAACTTTCTTCGATTCTATTACAACAGCTTATCATAAGAATTTCCCTCAACGTTTCCTTGGGCTTTCTTCGCTTCGATTGCAGCATTTTGACATGAAAAGTACCTTTAAGATTTTCTTGGGACTTACTTCGCTTTTATCGCAACATTTTGACATATAAATTCTCTTCAAGGTTTCCTTGGGATTTTCTCCGTTTTTGCTACAGCATCTTGACATAGAAATTCCCTGCAAGGTTTCCTTAGGGCTTTCTTCGTTTTTGTTGCAGCATCTGGATTTAGAAATTTCTTTCAAGCTTCTTTGAGCTTTCTTCGTTTCTTTTGCAGTACCTTGATATCGAAATTGTCTTCAACGATTCCCTGGGTCTTTCTTTGTTTTTGTTGCAGCATCTGGATATTTTCAATTACCTTCAAGGTTTCCTTGGGGCTTTCTTCTTTTTTGTTGCAGCATCTTGGTATAAAAATTCCCTACAAGACTTCTTTGGGACTTTCTTCGTTTTTGTTGCATGGAGATTGCCTTCAAGGTTTCCTTGGGACTTTCTTCGTTTCTGGTGCAATATCTTGACATGGAAACTCCCTTCAAGACTTCTTTGAGACTTTTTGTTTCGTGAGTTTCAGGGTTAGAACTTTTGGAATTTGTTGAGCATAGCAGTGTTTCATGGTTTAAAATTCACAAAACACTGTAATGCTCAAAAAACATCAGCTTTTCATTGCCTCAAAGCTCACGAAACACTGCTATGCTCAAAAAATTCCAAACTTTTAAGGAATCTGCCCCCGTCTTGGCCATAGATGCCAGAATTTTGGAATTTTTGGAATTTTTTGAGCATTGCAGTGTTTCGTGAGTTTCAGGGTTAGAAAGTTTGGAATTTTTTGAGCATAGCAGTGTTTCGTGCTCCCCATGCCCCAAGATCCACGAAAGCGTAGATCTTGGGGGGGGGGGGGGGGCGAGCATATATATATATATATGTATATACACATACATATCGGGTACATTGTGTGTACTATGCAAAGTATTCTATAAGGTATTTCTATTAGGTATATTATAAGGTATTGTATAGGGCATTGTAGAGGGCATTCTATAGGGTATGTAAAGGGGGTTCTGAATGGCATATACGATTCAATTTAGGTGGTATTGTAGAGGGAATCCTATGAGGAGTTCTATAAGCTACAGGGTGTTCATGAAGATATATGCAAGGTATATAATGGATATTCTGTAGGATGTGTTGAAATTCTTTCAGGTATATAGAGGGTGTAGCCTTTCAGGTATTCTATAGGCTATTCTTCCAGGTTCCTGATTTCTTTCATAGAAACCCTTTACTCAATAAACTACAGTTCGATTGGAGAAATGTGTGATTGTGCCTATACAATTCCTGATCTACAGGGTATTCTATAGGGCTGTATAAGGTATACAGGTGGTATGGTGGTATCATGGGTCCTTCTGATTTTGGCTGAAAAATCTTTTCTTTGCAAATACGAACCTTCAAAACGATAGCTTCCCACAGCGCAATTGTGGTGCTCCGTCTTTCGTTGTCTTGGTTGTTCAGCACGCAGCCTGAAAAGCTAGGTTCCCACAACGTCCTCCTCCCAACTACTTTACTAAATGTGTCGCCCGCTTCGCCGGCCCCCAAAACTACTTTAGTAAATGTGTCGCCCGCTTCGCCAGCCCCCCAAAACTACTTTACTAAATATGTCGCCCACTTCGCCCGCCCCCAAAACTACTTTAGTAAATGCGTCGCCCGCTTCGCCCGCCCCCAAAACTACTTTACTAAATATGCCGCCCGCTTCGCCCGCCCCCAAAACTACTTTACTAAATATGTCGCCCGCTTCGCCCGCCCCCAAGACTACTTTACTAAATGTGTCGCCCGCTTCGCCCGCCCCCCAAAACTACTTTACTAAATGTGTCGCCCGCTTCGCCCGCCCGCAAAACTACTTTACTAAATGTGTCGCCCGCTTCGCCCGCCCCCAAAACTACTTTACTAAATGTGTCGCCCGCTTCGCCCGCCCCCAAAACTACTTTACTAAATGTGTCGCCCGCTTCGCCCGCCCCCAAAACTACTTTACAAAATATGTCGCCCGCTTCGCCCGTCCCAAAGACTACTTTACTAAGTGTGTCGCCCGCTTCGCCCGCCCCCAAAACTACTTTACTAAAGATGTCGCTCGCTTCGCCCGCCCCCAAAACTACTTTACTAAATGTGTCGCCCGCTTCGCCCGCCCCCAAAAACTACTTTACTAAATGTGTCGCCCGCTTCGCCCGCCCCCAAAACTTTTTTACTAAATGTGTCGCCCGCTTCGCCCGCCCCCAAAACTACTTTACTAAATGTGTCGCCCGCTTCGCCCGCCCCCAAAACTACTTTACTAAATATGTCGCCCGCTTCGCCCGCCGCCAAAACTACTTTAATAAATGTGTCGCCCGCTTCGCTCGCCCCAAAAACTACTTTACTAAATGTGTCGCCCGATTCGCCCGCCCCAAAAGCTACTTTACTAAATGCGTCGCCCGCTTCGCCCGCCCCAAAAACTACTTTACTAAATGTGTCGCCCGATTCGCCCGCCCCAAAAGCTACTTTACTAAATGTGTCGCCCGCTTCGCCCGCCCCAAGAACTACTTTAGTAAATGTGTCGCATGCATTTTGGGATTATACGTTTTACGTTCGAACAAGCAGATTGAGCGGATGCAGGACAGGAAGCTCTCAGCCATCAGTGAAAGCTCCAAGCAAAAGAACTTTGTTTTGCTGCCCTGTTGCTGCCTTTTGCTCATAGTAACATTCGTTGGCAATTGGCAGAAGATGTCTCGGCAACCGATGCGACTCCCACTGGAGCCGGGAGAGCACAAGCCCGCATGCCTCCCAAGTTAGTTGAGCTGGCTTATAGGTATGGGGTCCATAGGGGTGAGCATGGTCGTTTAGACTGGTCTTCAGGGCGGTTGATGCCCAGTAGTGAAATGCTTTCGGCTCCAGCTGAGCTTGAAGAGGCGCTGCAATGTGGGCGCTGGCGCATCACAGAGAGATCGCAGTTTGCAAAAGTAGGCCATATCAACATTCAGGAAATGAAAGTACTGGTCAAAGAGATTAGACACCGTGCGTGGCAAACTGCTAGTGGTCAGAGGATAGTCAGCCTTTGCGATTCCCGCGTAGTCGTAGGTGCTTTCGCCAAGGGGAGATCGTCGTCGGTGAAACGCAATCAGTGGCTCAGAAGGGCTATGTGTCACAGTGTAGCCGGTTCCAAATGTTTGGGTGTCTACCAAAGCAAACCCTGCCGACTATCCTTCCCGAGGGTTAGGCATACCGTTGCGAGAGGACTTGCCAGCAAGCTTCTGTGCGCTCCTGTCTTCGGCAGACCAGCAAAGCATGCTGCCCCTTGTTCCAGGGCGGAGAGCGAAAGAAGCGCCTCCTGCCGACACGCCTGCCCTACTAGCCGCGCCATTGCCTAGCACTGCGTAAGCGTAATATCCTCTTGCACGGCTTGTTTGCTGCACTCGGCTGATTCATCCTAATTCGCGGTGAGTAGAAACCTAATTAGTAGTGTTTTGTTCTTCCTATGGCTTTGCGTGGAAGCCAGTATTCGGCTGCATACAAGAAGCGCCTTCGCGCGGGCCTTGACGCAGTGCTGAAATTCATTGGCCGTTCGCACAAGCGGCTGGTCGCACTTGCTCAGGACTTAGATCAGCTCGACAGTTTTTTAGAGGACTTCGTCAACTGGGTATACCGCAAGTGTGGAAGGCAGCATTTAAGCACCGCCAAACACGGCTTGCTAGCCGTCCAGCACCTTTACCCACAGCACCGCCGGCATTTGCACCGGGCCTGGCAAAGTGTCCAAGCTTGGGAAGACATTGTAGAAGTCAATGTGCGTGTGCCGTTGCCATTGTCCGTCCTGTGTGCTCTGATCATAGCGGCCCGGGCGCATGCCGGTTGTGAGTCAGGTCGTGAAGCCTTCTTGTGGGATTGCTTCTCGGTGTGCTTGGAGCTCGCCTTTTTTGGCCTCCTCCGGCCAGGGGAAGTCTTCAAGCTGCGCAAGTGTGATGTCAGCCTGCCTGATGCCTTGCTCGTGTCTGGCATCGGCGCCGTTGTGCGCGTTCAGGCCCCCAACAACCGTCGCACTTTTGGCAGGCATCAATTTGTATATAGTGACCATGCCCCTACGTGCACTAGCTTGCGATGGCTTTGTGGTCGCTTGCGTGCAAACGAAAAGCTCTGGGGATGCAGTGCTCGCTCCTTTCGGGCAATGTTTAAGCAGCTCTGCTCAGAACTTCAGTTAGGGCATGTGCGCCTTACGCCCGCCTCTCTGCGTGCAGGGGGGGCTTCGCATCTGCACCTCACGGGCTTGGAAGTGAGTAGGTTGAACGTTCGCAGGCGTTGGGGTAGCGAAAAGTCTTTAGGGCATTACCTTCAAGCGGCCCTGGCACGACAGGTACAGCTGTCCATGCCATCGCTGAGCCAGCGTGCTGTGCGGACGTTGTTGACCCGTGGCCAACGGTATCTTTTCAGCATTTCGGGCTCAGAGGATTCCTCAGCGCTGTCGCTCCCCGCCCTGCTGTATCGCTATGGAGAACTTGCTGGCCAAGTGGGGTGATGGCATTGATTCTGCAGGTTGACACCGTGGCAAACGGTTTCGTGACATACCCGCTACAGCGCTCCGGCGTGTGTCACAGTGCTGTCCTGACCGGGATTTGTATCGCTTCGCCCGCATGTATGCCGCCACGGAGGCCCTTCAAGACGTGCAGCCTCCCCGCTTTGACAGCAGCGCGGTTGCCTCTCGACCGCCTGGGCAGTTTGCAGTCCTGGGTCAGTCGTGTGTGGGTAGTTCTCCCCTGGCAGCGAGTATTTCTCATGCTCCGGCTGGCCGCAGTGTTGTCCCGGCCGCATACGCACTTCCTGGTCGCACGGCTCCTCACCCGTCTGATGCAGCAGCTCTTGCGGTATGCCATGTCCCTTGTAATCCACTTAGTGGAAATAGTGCTGGAAGAGCTCGTCTCCCAAGTGCAGGGTCGCACGGCGCCGGAGCGGTCCGATCCAACTTGCCCGGCTTGCCAAGGTTTACGGGTGCTAGGACAGGTGGTTTTGTCCTCTGCTTCAATTTTCATGGGTGCTGTAGTGGCCTGGCATAGTGGTTCGCCTCTCCGCTCTCGGCTCCGACTGGTGTGAGGATGCTTGTCTGCCCTCCGCCGCCCCAGCAGCCACCGTGCTGAGGAGTGGGTGCTGGCTGCGAGCTAACCGTGCCTGCAGAAGTGTGCTGCTGCTCGCCAGGTCGTTTGAAGCTCACAGGGGTCTAAAATTGCTTGTTAGTACTTTTCCGCAACTGCTGTCTGCCGGCAGCTCACCAGAAACACAGCTGCTTTCGTGTGGCCGCATGCTGTGCTGCATACCCTGCCGTGTGCTGTGCTCAACAGAGCACCAACCGTTATGCAGCCCGAGTACCCGGACATCCTCACATATGTCGATTTCAGCGACACTTCCTTCGGGCCCAGCAAAAAGAGCGATCCGCGAAATCTTTGCTATCTTTCTTGTCTGCAAGACCATGACAAGGTTGAGGTGCGAAGACATGAATCGAGATGTCTGCCGCCCCGAAACGCAGCCTCAAGTACAGCAGTCGCCGCCGCCTCCCCACCACCAACCTGCTTGCTGGCTGTGAGCTAACCGTGCCTGAGAGAAGTGTGCTGCTGCTCGCCAGGTCGTTTGAAGCTCACAGGGGTCTAAAATTGCTTGTTAGTGCTTTTCCGCAGCTACTGTCTGCCGGCAGCTCACCAGACACACAGCTGCTTTCGTGTGGCCGCATGCTGTGCTGCATGCCCTGCCGTGTGCTGTGCTCAATAGAGCACCATTCGTCATGCAACCCGAATACCCGGGCATCCTCACACTGTCGGTTTCAGCGAGACTTCCTTCGGGTCGGCAAAAAGAGCGATCCGCGAAATCTTTGCTATCTTTCTGGTCTGCAAGGCCATGACAAGGTTGAGGTGCGAAGACATATAATTATTCGAATATATATGAATATTCCGATAAAGTTTTCTCAGAATATACAGACCTTGAGCTCGAACATGCACAAAAAATACGAAATCCTTCAAAACGTCGCAGAATATACAGACCCCACAAACCCCACAAATCCCGCAAACACAACAAATTCTATAATGACAGAACACAACATAATAAATATACAAAGAACACATCAAACATATTCACAATATTTTGACCGGGGAGTATCGTCCAATATCTTCGTACAAATTCTCCGATCGCAATTCCCCCACATTCCGCAGACCCATACAACCCTTCAGATCCCGCGAACCCCACAGAATATATAGATCCCACAAACCCGACAGACACTACAAACAACACAAAACCCTCTTCTTCTATACATCCCACAAATCCTGAACACCCCAGATTCTGATAACAATATAAGGCACACGTCACAGTACCAGAAACAGAGCAGCACAAGCTCGAATATCGATCTTTTCCTGCTGCTCGCTGACTTGCTCACTGATATCCTGCTCGCTAATATCGCCTTCACGGCATGATCACGCAACATCTGAATCCTAAACGACTTGACGGATATATTGGTTCGTTATTTGCCGAATCGGCAAGAAAAATTTCTAATATATGCGATACTTCCCACAAATAAGCCCGATAGATATGGCACAAGGTCCGAACTAAGAGATATAAATTCAGAAGAAAGGGAAAGATATAGATCCGGAACGCCACGAGGAATAATAAATCTCCCCTTAAGAAATATTCCGTGGAATCACAAAAGAAATAGAATAATGGGAAAAATAGAAAAATCGTCGTAGCATTCGAATATAAGAGCAATCGACTTTTTGCAATAGTAGACTTAGAGAAAGAAAAAGAAAAGGGGAGGGAGAGATCGTGCAATTCCGATAAAGTGAGAAATCTATCCCTCATCAAATGATATATATATAGACATCTTAGCTTCCAATCCCATCCATAGAAACTATCATAATAAATATGATCATAGATATCAAAAGAAGGTCTTCTATCCAAAGAGAAAATTAATCGAACGAACTTCTTGAATAAAAACATAGAATCGACGATATCAAATCTCATTTTATAACCTAGCGTCGTTACGATTAATTTAAATATACATAAATATGCCTATTAATAGATATATTATTTCTATCGAATATATTTCTTATTAATAAAATAAATCATAAATCAATTATTATATATAGAGAATGAAGAGAATATATAATGATGCTAATACCTTAAGTTTCATGAGAATATCATTCTAATTCAAATAAATGCTAAATCTTCCAAATATTCAAATAAATCTATATCTCAAAAAAACTAATGATCGAAAGAATAAATCATTCATAATCGTAAGAAATACCGACATTAAATTGAAATATATTTAATATAAAAATGAATTTTATTTCCTGCCTAAAATTCAATTACATTTCATTTGCAAATAAAATAATCAAATATAAATTTAAGATATCGGGTGAAAATTGTTTCGGAAACAGTTTCTCAAGAAACTTCTAATGAAACTTATTTGGCGGCGGCGCGATAGCGCCGCCGCCGACCAAAATAATTTTTTTATATTCAATATAGAAATCTCTTATTTCGTATCATAGAAATTATTCTTTCGAATTTAGGATTTGCATTATGAAAATATATGATTTATTTCGCTGACGAAAGCCTTTAAATCTTAGATCTAGGTTTCTCATATCTCGCTCAAAGATTTCTCACCGCTCGGAATTGGGTCTGGTCGCGAGGCTTGCTGCTGAGATTCTCATGCATTGAAATGGGAGATTCCAAAGGCAATTATTTTCAGGTTTCTTCTTATTTTCTCGCCGCCCGGATTTGGGTCCGGCGGCCAAACTTGACGACTGGGGATCTCCTTAGATTGGGCTATGAGAAAATTGAAAGAAATTTCTCAGAAAATTTCCAAATTTATAAGAGAAGAGATGAGTCGATCGGTCATAAATCCCGGCTGCTCTCAGATTTCTCATAGCTCGCTCATAGATTTCTCATAGTCCGTTCATGGACCCAATTTCGATCGCGAGCCCTAGCTACTAAGAATCTCCTAGATTAGGCTCTGAAAAAATTTGCAAGAAATCTAGGGCAAAATTTTGAGGAATTCACCGATCGATTCTATACCCCAGCTATTTATAGATTTCTCATAATTCGCTCTGGACGGATTCCCCGATCGGACCCAATTCCGACCTCTTTTGAAGAATAATTTTCATCTTTGCTCAAACAATTTCTTCAGCAATTTGTACTGAAACTAAGTAACTAAGATATGCAGGGGATTGGGACCGACCAGAAGAGGTGAGATATATAAGAGAAGCTTCTCAGACGTGCGGGAAGTTGACAACTGCCACAGAAAGAACTGTGTTTTAGCAGCGAGACGAGCAAGCGATGGTTTAGACGGATCACAGCCCGAATCACGCACATTAGCCACATCACAGCCGGGATTAACCCGAATCACGGCCTTTGGGAAACTCGCCGATCTTGTTTCATGCCTGAGAAATCTCGATCTGTTTGTGTCAAGCTATGAGAAGGAAACCGCAGGTCGGAATTTGGTGCAACCTCTGAGATTTCGCCAGTACGCTGTGTCAGGCCTGAGAAATAGCAGGTCCGCTTTTCAGATCGCAGCCGAATCAGAATCGAATCACAGCCACATCATACCCGGGTCACACCCGGATCACCGCCGAATCACCCTCGGAACCACAGCCACATCACAGGATCACAAGCGAGTCACGGCCACATGACAGCCGAATCACAGCCACACAGCCGACTCTCAGTGGGATATTACCGATCAACTTGTTTCAAGGAATCGCCGATGCACTTGCCTCAAGCTCTGAGACTTTGCAGAATCATTTGTAGCAAGCTCTGAGACATCGTCGACCCGCTTGTCTCAGAGTCATAGCCGAACCAGCCAGATCACAGCCAAATCACGACCTGAAGGAAATTGTCGATATACTTGTTTCAGGCTCAGATCAGAGCCGAACCACAGCTACGTCACAGCCGAATGAAAGCCACTAACGTCATAGCCACATCACAGCCGAAACACAGCCACATCAACGAAGCAGAGCCTTTGAGACATCGACGATCCACTTGTTTCATGCTCTGAGAAATCACCGATCCACTTGTCTCAAGCTCAGACAAATCGTGAATGCAACAGTTTCAAGCTCTGAGAAATCGTCGATTTGCTTGGATAGCAGGAAAAGTGTTGCTCAAACAATTTCTTCAGCAATTTGTACTGAAACTAAGTAACTAAGATATCCAGGGGATTGGGGCCGACCAGAAGAGGTGAGCTCTATATTAGAAGCTTCTCAGATGTCCGGGAGCTTGATGCCTGCCACAGAAAGAACTGTGTTTTAGCAGCGAGACGAGCAACCGATGGCTTAGCCGGATCACAGCCGAATCACAGCATAGCCACATCACAGCCAAATCACAGCCGGATCACACCCGAATCACGGCCTTTGGGAAATCGCCGATCTTGTTTCATGCTCTGAGACATTTCCGATCTGTTTGTGTCCAAGCTCTGAGAAACCGCAGTCGAATTTGTGCCACTCTCTGAGATTTCGCCAGTCCGCTTGTGTCAGGCCCTGAGGAATCGCAGGTCCGCTTTTTCAGAATCGCAGCCGAATCAGAATCGAATCACAGCCACATCATACCCGGATCACCCCCGGGTCACACCCGGATCACCGCCGAATCACCCTCCGAACCACAGCCACATCACAGGATCACAAGCGAGTCACGGCCACATGACAGCCGAATCACAGCCACACAGCCGACTCACATCCGACTCTCAGTGGGATATTACCGATCAACTTGTTTCAAGGAATCGCCGATGCACTTGCTTCAAGCTCTGAGACTTTGCAGAATCATTTGTAGCAAGCTCTGAGACATCGTCGACCCGCTTGTCTCAGAGTCATAGCCGATCCAGCCAGATCAAAGCCAAATCACGACCTGAAGGAAATTGTCGATACACTTGTTTCAGGCTCAGATCAGAGCCGAACCACAGCTACGTCACAGCCGAATGAAAGCCACTAACGTCATAGCCACATCACAGCCAAAACACAGCCACATCAACGAAGCAGAGCCTTTGAGACATCGACGATCCACTTGTTTCATGCTCTGAGAAATCACCGATCCACTTGTTTCAAGCTCAGAGAAATCGTGAATGCAACAGCTTCAAGCTCTGAGAAATCGTCGATTTGCTTGGATAGCAGGAAAAGTATTGCTCAAACAATTTCTTC